AGAGCAAGCCAGTGAAATGAATTCTTTATAGCATGTGAGATCATGGTTAAATACATAGGAAGGAACTTTGCATATGGAGAACAAATCTTGCACACTGGCCCTGAGCCTGTGGTATTTCTGTGTTTACACACAGGTAATGTAACAATAAATTTTGTTTTCCCTGTACATAGTTTGTCACAATTCAATTGAGCTCCACAGTGCAGCATCAGCTGGTATTTTGCAAATTGAAAAGGAAAAGTGAAGGTGAAGAAGAAAAACAGTGAGAGAATAATGCATGTGAGATCTAACTTTACAAGGGAAAAGAGTCATCAAGTTTTACTCAGCATCTGAAAATGAAAGAACATACTTGAATTTCCCCCTTATTTGTGTATAGATATATTTATCTTTCCACATGTTTCTGAGAAAATAAAACACTGCAAAATGAGCTGTAATGTAAGAAACTTGCTTTGCAAAATGGGGTCTTCTGTGGCTGTGTTGCAAAATCCTTGTGTGGTTTTGCTGCAAATCTGAAAAAAAAAAACCCAAACATTCACATTCTGTTATCAGTCTTTTCACTCTTTTTCCCCCCAGCTACCTCTACAGTTTACTGTATTTGCTGGTACATTTTCCCTCCAGTGTGACATATCTAAAAAACATCAGAATTAAATTTTTTTGAAAATGAAATTAATTTGTCCACTCTTAAAATATATTGTCTTAAATAACATGTTCCTTTAATTCCTTTGTTTGCTTCAGCCTCTATATATATTTTAGAGCTAATTTTTTGGGTGTTTCACATAGGCATTAAAAAAAACCAACTCAGAGCCTTTCATTAATACATCCAAATACACACCCTTTCTAGAATAGAAATCATTACAATGTTCAATATCACCTCAAAACTGATAGTTTTCCATGAGGAAAGGAAAACTCAGTGTCTGTATATATATGTGCAAAGCTCGAATAGTGCTTGTTTCACTTAGGTCAAAATTTACATTGATTAGAAAAAAGTCCACTGATTGTTCATAATATTCTTACATAGTTTCTATTAAGAATATTTACACAAAACTAGCAATGGAACTAAAAACACAAGAGGCAAACAGCTCAATTAATATATCATTGCTGATTTTTAAAATATTTTATAGAATGAAAAAGATTAAAATTTTTTTTTAATTATATAATGACAAAGATTGCTTCATACTCTGCAATATCAAGCTAAATTCTGCTGCATAATTTCCAAATTACATTTTTGATTAAAATATTTGTAAACACTTCTTTTGAACCAGATGCCAATGCTGTTGGAAGCTTGAGCTTTATGCATTTAGATTCAGGATTTATAGTTTGATCTTGGATGAGTAGAGTAACTGACTGGGCAGAATACAATGTAAAATATACAGTTTAAAGAGATGTCTGTGGTATGTAATTACATTCCTGATAAGAGCCACATGCTCTTTTTCTCTTGTGAAAGGGTCTCCTCATTTCACTGGTCATACCATGAATTGAGTGGTTTGAGGTTTTCAGAAAATGGTTATCCAGGAACCCACTAGTCAGTGGAAGCTCCTTAGTCTAATGCAGTCATTAATTTAATACTAATGCATCACTGCCAGAATTGTTTTGGTGTGCTTCAGACACTTTGGGGATAGTGCTGTTTGGGCTGCTGAGTTTGAATGAGCTACAGAGTATTGGTAGTTCCATTATTTTCCATTTATTGGCTGATGTAGACTGCATACAGAAGGGTATGACTTCAAAGAAACACCAAAGGATGTACTAGGCAGTTCATATAAAGATTTTGTTGCAAAATCTGAAAAACCTATGGCAGAGGTTTTCAAGATTCGGCCATATATATTTTTAAAATTAAATGGAAATGCCTTTTTTATTCAATTTGAAAGACAAAAATTCTTGAAGCCTGTGTATATTTCTTCACTAAAATTTTATTTATTCACTCAGCATTTTGTCTCACTTTGTCTCAGAAAATTAGATTTGATGCCATGAACACAGATAGCCAATGCTAACACTTTAATAGACAGCATTCATTTAAAAATAAATCCCATCTTTCTGACTTCAGCAAGTAGGAATCAAACAATTTCTTCCATTTTCTTGCCTCTTCACCTTAGATCTAGCTCAGTCTTTGGTGAGTTTGTGGGCTCAGTTTTCCAGATTGCCTCCTTTTGTCTTAATTAATCACAGCCTCTGTTTAGGCACAGAACCAAGTCCTGTGCCCTCTTGAAAATGCATTCTTGGAAAATTATGGGAACAGATCTAGGCCCAAGACACTCAAGACACAATCCACATATTTTCTGATTACAGTGGGGCAATATGTGGCTAAAAACTGTGGTTTAATTGCCATTCTTCAGATTTAAGAAATATTTAGATCATATTACTTAACAAGTTGACTTTAAAATATTTTCCTGGTTTCTGAGAAATGTTGGTGCCGGGTTATATTGTGCATACTTAATCGAAACTGCAAGGGCTACATTGGCTCTTTATGAGGAAATTTACTTTTCTGAAACCATATTTAGGTTGGGTTTATTTTTCCTTTCTAGATTACGAAAATATCTTCAGAGAGAAAAAAAATCAGGAAGTCATTTTAATTTACTCATTCTTCAATATGAGCATCACTTCTTTAATGAGTGACAGAGTCAGAACAGTAGAAATAAATTCTATCATCATATTGACTACCTTTCTGCGAAAACAGGGTTCTCTCCTGAGATAATTTTTCTAGTATTTTTCCCTGTCCAATATAAATTTATGAATTTAACCTCCAAACTGTCAAAACTTGTTAGCATTATACATGTATTTGAGAATAAATTCTCTGAAGCAGAAAATTATTAATCTTTATTTTGACAAAACTATAAGTGACACTTTTGATTTATTTTAGTGGTCTTCTTAGTCATTGCCAGAGAAAACATCTACTTTTTAATACTACTATTATTATTTCAAGCTTCACTTGCTTTATTTTATTATCCTTTATGTTGGGGTTTAAAAAAAAGTTATTTGTGATGATGTCTAAATCTACATCCTAATCTTACCTTCTGTTCTCTCCATGGTTTATATTTCCGTATGCACAACAGTTCCCAGAATTTAAATGCAGAACTCAAGGGACAGAGCCTATCTTGTTTTTTTTCCCTTACAGCTTTAGTAAGCATGTGTATTGTATCCATTTTTATGGCTTGCTGCTCTTTCAGGCAATATTGCTTTTCTTCATGAGGTCCAAAAAGAAGTTGTGATGAGATCTCATGATTTCTTTATCAGGATAGATGGTCTCTCTAACTTTCTTCACCCCTTCTGTTTCAGCAAACTTGTAATTTTTTCATTGCTTTCTGTTAATGTACTACCATACTGATTTATGCTTTATTTCCTGAACCCACAAATTTAGCACACAGCAAAAATTACAGTTCACTGTGTCATCTGTGCTGGTGCAAAGGGAACTGCATTCTCCTGAGCCTGTTACTTACAACATGGTATTAATCACCAAAGACCTCTGTTTCTCCTCAGCATTGGTCATTCTGTTCCTGTTCTGTATTTCTGTTCTGCATCTTCCTTATAATTCAGTGCTGATATTTCCTTTGTTCATCACAGATCCAACCACATTTTTCTAACCTGTTTTACAGCTGATTGCAGCACATGTTAACTGCTGAAAAACTCAGCTCCATAGCTCTGGCCTGGTGTTCTCTTTCCCTCTGAACTCTGCAGTGAGTAGAAAAGGAGCAAACAGGGCTAAGCAGATAACTTCAGTTGTTTAAATAGCCAGTAACACATGTATGCAAGCTTGGCATCTATGGAGTGTGAATCTAAAATACAGGCCAAAAACTTGTCCAATGACTCAGCTCCTGCAGTATTGATTCAGCTCTCACTCATTATTTGTCTGAAGTTGTGAGGAGATGCCATGGCCTGTGATCTAGAATATATTTTTTGATCTGTGATTGTTATTTGCTGTTCACTGTAGATTTATGCCTATGTGTTTGAGAATATCAGATCAGTTCAGTTGGAGGCATTACTTCTCTCCTTGCTGAGCATTGTGGTACTTGTTCTTGTTAAAGAACTGAATGAGAAATATCACAGAAATATTAAAGTTGTCCTTCCCATCGATCTGCTTTTGGTAAGTACAAAATTATATATCACGATTTTTCTTACAAAGCTTTCAGTGGCTCAGTTTGCTGAAGTTTACTGCTACTACTGTCTATAGTTACCCACACCCACACCTGCCACTTATTAAACAGACAGCTGATTTTCAGGGCTGTAAGTTCATTGTAAAAACAGGAAACAGTGTGGCTTAATAATTAAGAAAGAAACTACATAAGCTCCCAATTTGTATAATATTTTTCATATGTTTACTACTTTTTACATAATTACAAGAACATAAAGCCTAGAATGTTAAAGTATAATAAGTTTCAAATAGAAAATAAAAAGTAACTGGCATATTGTAACTCCAAGCAAGTCTTCTGCTGGGTAGCTGTGCCTTAGATGTTGCTTGTGATTTATCTACAACAAAGTTAAATAGCTATGCTATTGCTTTCTGTCATTTTACTAACATGTTTTCTTTTAACAGTTTTTAGTTTTCTTTTAACTAAATTAAAATTAGCAGTTGCATTATAAACCCCTGCTTTAAGGATTAAGCTGTAGTCAAATGATTAGCACAAGATCACCACTAGAAAGTTTCTGTTTTTCTCTAAACATCTAATAGAAAATGCAAAGTATGAAGGACAGATCATTTTCAGAGTGCATTACTGCAATTACTCTTTTGTTGCTGGAAAAAATATTTACAAGGGCAAAATGCTGGAAAAGGTAGGGTGGTCCTGGTCTCAGTGTTACCTTTTTAAAAATATTGGATAAAACGTACCAGCAAACTAAGGATTGCAGCCTGGAACCCTGCTCTATTGGGATTTGTGTTCATCTCATTTGAAATACAGGAAATTAGTTTGAACCTCCTCAGGGTCAAACTTTATACTCCTCTGCAAGATTTGTACCTGACAGAACATAACAACAAGAGGCAGACACATCTGCTGTGCTCTGTGCTGAAGTCAACACAGCCAGTGTGGATTAGATGTGCTCAGAGAACATGAGCTGGGTCAGATTGCTCAGGAGCACCTGAATCATGAACTGCTTTAAGCTGTTTACATGAATGGCAGTGCTCTGGGGCAGTGCTGAACAGAGGGACTTTGGACACTGATTGCCAAGGTTCCTGGGGCTTTACACAGAGCCATACAAATCTCTTTCATTAACACAGAATGTACAAACTGCACTACAGTCTCACGTCTTTATTGTGTCCAAATCTTAGTTTCTTTTGACTCTCTTACACATTTGTTAAAAAAACCAAAAACAACATGATAATACTTTCCTGTTTTACTGGATTGATCTAAGGATAAATGTATGAACAGTGCCATATGCTTAGGTATGGCAATAATAGATACCATGTCAGGAGCACAGAAATGTAACATCTTTTTCTGTTTGAATCAATAGATAATTGCTACATCCATTGCTTGCTACTATGCTGATATGGAATACGTCTACGGGATAGAAGTTGTGGGAAATATTCCTAAAGGGTAATGTGGGTTTATTACCTTCTGGCTTTTAAACACTTCTCTTTCTGAGAACAGTCTCTGAAAAGGTCAAAGGAGTTTCTGAAATAAGAAATGGTAAAAATCTATTTTGTTTTTTTCCTGTCTCCTCAAACACTCTCTTACAACTCAATCCCATGTTAACAAGTTACACATGCATAGATATCATAAAAAAATGCATCCTTATATGTTTTCATAGCTTTTTATTGCTGTGTGGAATAAAAAGTAGGTACTAAGTACTTGATGATGTATGACAGGAAGGCAGGACGCTCTTTACAAGATTATTGCAACCTGCTTTTTGAGGGCTGGGTTGGGCTATTGTCGCAGAACATTCTCCACCCATACAGTAATTTTAGAAAATGCAGTTTCTGAGAAAATGTGAAAGATTTAATTATGCTGAATCTAGAAAAGAACATTTTTACTGTAGTTAATGATACACTTTCCTCCATGACCTTGAAAAGAAGGCAAAAAATTTCAATATAATTTTCTAGAAAGAGAAATTAAATTAAATGTCAGAAAATGTTCACACTCTACAGGTTGGTATGGAAGAGCACAGCTGTTGTGTACTCCCCTGCTTGGATATAGGAGGGTTTCCCTAAATTTCACAAAACACAAGGCCAAGACAGCATGAGTGCATGTGTGGCAGCTTGCACTGAAAGAGATGAAATAAGGGACATTTCTGAGAAAGAATACAGTTTTTAAGTATTTAGAGCATGCTATGAATCTGAGACTAAAACACGGCTAAGTGTGCCCCTTCTATGTGTAATGAACAGGTCAACTGTATTTGTGCAAATTTAATCAGGAATTTATTTTCTGTCAAACCTCATACAAGTAGTGTTGAAAACCAGAAGCAAAGCCTGGATAATTCCTTCATATTTTTAGGCATTTATCCAAAATACCTAACTGCCTTGTCAGTGGAGAGCATCAGAAACTTTAAGAGCACAATTTGCTTTTCAGATGGTGTGATTTGTGCTCTGGAAAGACCAAAGTCTTTTTGAAGAGTTCAGAGACAATCTGTGGTGATTTGGTTCATAACTTGAGTAGTTTTATTGCAATTCCCATTAGATGGAATAAGTGTCTGTACTGTCAGTAACCGACAGGAATACAAAATTTTTTAAAGATTTAAATTTAACTTTACAGGAAAGTCAACTGTATTAAAAAAGGAGAAAACATACAGTAGTCTCTTCTCTGAACATTACAAAATTAGTGAATGGTTGCTAATTTTATTTGTCAGTTGTGGAGTTATTTTATCAACATCTCTTTATAATTTCTCAAATGGAAGTTTTCAAATTGAATACTCCATCTGAAACTGTTTCATCTTCTACAAATTCTCTTCTGCTGTTCCCAACAGAGAGATCTTAAAATATTGCAAAATGTCACCTTACAAGTTTACAAGTAATACAAAAATTAGCTGTTCCTGCAGAGATTGTTTCTATGGTATTCACATAAATTGCAGGTATATAGAGACTACATATCAAGTTTTTCAAAAATTACTGTCTTTATTTTTTATAGGTTGCCATCACCAAAAGCACCATCCATGAGTGTCCTGCCTGAAGTAGTCACTGAAGCTTTTGGAGTGGCACTGGTTGGTTATGTAGCCTCCCTAGCTCTTGCTCAGGGCTCTGCTAAAAAGTTTAAATACTCTGTGGATGACAACCAGGTAAAGCTCTTTCTTCTTAGTGTCACTGAGCCCTGAAATCATCATTTGGGAAAAGTATTATAGATGAATACTCATAGGAAAAGTTCCATATAGCATCCTGACGCCTTCTAGTGTCACCCAAGTTTTGTTTAAATTATCTCTGCAGAATGCTCTCATTAGTTGAACTGCTCCTTTTGGGGAAGCTCATCCTTCAGGATAAACTTGTAATGCTACATTCAGTGCAGCATTTGGGTATCAATGCATTTTTCACTGCTCTAGGATGAGACAGCTTCTCCTCTGGCAGCTGAGCTCTTATAGACAAGCTGTGATGTTAAATCAGCCACCATTAATGAAACAAAGCAATTCTGAAACAAAACCAGATAGTTTATAATAAGAAATTATTTACTTATGCAAAGTAGAAGTCTCACCTGAAATAAAGGTTTATTTGTATCTAAGAAGCTGGGTGAGTTCAGAGAGTGCTGCCAGATTTACAGCCAAAGGAGATTTTTGTTCTGAGTTCCATTTTGCAGAGAACATGCTTAAATAAAAGTGGGCAGTCTCTACCCTACTACAGTGCTTGTCATGGTGGGTGGGTAACTCCAAGCCTGCTGCAAATCCATGGAGATGCTAATTCAAGCACTGTGGGAAGAAAGGCTCAATTTCAAATAACTGGCACTAGTACTGTGAGATGAAAATGTTGCCCCCACCTTTATGTTAAGTGGTTTGGGATAAATGGCATAGGGTTGAACGAAGAGCAGTTGTTTTGCAGCTGGAGGTCTATTTGAACACTCTATCTAGACAGGTTGGTCTTGCTGCATCAGGTCCTGCCTTTTACAGCTTGTATGCGATTGAAAAACACAGTGGGAACATTCTTGGCTGTTTAGGTCTCTAAAATATTTCTCAGTTTGAATACATTGGGCCATGAATTTCCATTGATGCTTCAGAGCCTTCTATGGAGCAAAGGGAGAATGCTTTGAGCTTAGTGCAGATCAGATTCCAGGGAGACACAATGCTTTGTTTCAAGGCACTCCATGGAAGTGTTTCAAGGCACTCCATGCATCTGTGTTTCAAGGCACTCCATGCATCTGTGTCCTTCTGCACCTTTGGAAGTCTTATAGCTTACACAGGTTCATTACTGAAGTCTTGGAAACTCTGTGTATGTCCACATCAAATAATGGATCACAAGAGCAAAACCTCCATGAGAGGAGAGCAGTGAGGTGGCTGTGCTGCCTTTAAGGACAGACATAGTGCTGGGCATGCGGCCTGTGGGGGTGTGAGGCTGCAGGGTGAGCTTTAAGGGGGTGATATTCTGTGCTGTGAACACAAACTCAGGAGCTGCTGTTCTCCTGGCTGGATACAGCACCATTTTCCTACACATTTTCCTCAGCACTTGCTTCTTAAAGTCTGTGATGCTGGGTGGCCATGGTGGAACACTTCCTTAGAAAACACTGCTCTTAGGCTGCACATACACAGTGGGTTCTCCACCTTTTCTTCTATGAATCCTTTGACATGTCTGCATTTTGGCAGTGAACAAACATCAAATACATTTGTGATGAAGGACAGCGTGCATAAAGTATGGCTACCACACCACTACACTTTCACTAAAACATGCTCTAAAGGAAGAGAAATCAGTGGCTTTTTCCAGTGAGCCATGCACCAGAAATGATCTGGACAATTTACAGACACCAGGACTTGGGGCTCTGTTTAAAAGCAGACATGGATCAAGACGTAAATATTTTGGTTGAACTTAATCTTCAAAGCTTAACAATAGCATTTATTCTGGGAACAAAATGTCCCTCCTGCTTTTCATGAATCTGGTTCAACAGCTCTATCATTCAAATTAGTTCTGAGCTGGGAGAAGGTCTATTCTGTTGGGAAGCCCTTTGTCATGTACCTGTGGGATTTTTTCCCTCAAAAATGTGTCCATCTTTTATTATTACTAATATTTACATAGGGGACTCCTTTGATGGCAAGAGGCATTGAAATGACAGCACAATAGGAAAAAACATCTTCTATTTAACAACTTTGCAGGAATTTTTGGCTCATGGCCTCAGCAACGTGATTCCCTCATTTTTCTTTTGCATACCAAGTGCTGCAGCGATGGGACGGACGGCACTTTTATACAGCACGGGCGCCAAAACACAGGTAATGAGTTTTAAAAACACAAGCTGTAAAAAACACAGGCTTAGAGTGAAGTATGTCAGAGAATTAAAGCTATGATTCTGCTCACTGCAATTTGTACTGATTTATCCATTCTATTTCCCTAGCCTCCCTTTTCCTCTTTCCTGGGTATGCCTCTGCCCTGTTGTTTTTAACAATCTGCATGAAATTGCATCTGATCAGTGATGTCTTTCCAGGAAAAACAATGGTTCCATTTATTAATTTTTACCTGTTTCATTCAATATGACATATAAGGTCTGTGGCAGCAAGGAAGTTAGGAGTTGTGTTTTCAGACTGCAGGAAACTGCATAAAAACCCTTTCAGTTTATGTGAATTTGTCAGTGTTGTAACAAAAGTGCCCTCTAATGGTGTTTAATGGATTTAATGCTACAGTCTAAACCAAAGTTTAGGAAAAAAAAATCGCATTTCATTTATCTGATTTAATTTATCTTCTATCTGATTTCCAAAATAACATGAAAGTAACCTTTAAAGCTGTTTGTTAAAAAAATACAAGTAATCTCCCAGCTTCTGCCTTGTGACATGGTGTGCTTGTCCTGTCCCTCAGTGTACACTGAGCCCACAGAGATGACATTTAGATTTTTGAGGATGTTTGTTGCTATTTCCTACTGAGGAAACTAAACCCACAAAGTGTTATTACAGTAGCTCAGGAAAGAGGGGACTTTAATAGCTGAGATGATAACTGTGCCCCTGTCACCTGTCCAAAATGTGCTTGTGAACAAGAGAGGTGGCAAACCACCTGGGGCACCCCCATAGCATTGCCTTTTCCTCTTAACTCAGGGGCCCTTCAGGGGCAGCCTGCTGCATCAATGTCATGTCCTTTGCCATTCTCCCAGGTAACAAGTGACAGGACAAGAGGAAACACCAACACGCTGATCCAGGGAAGGTTTAGATTAGATATCAGGAAACTTTTCTTCACAGAAAGGGCTGTAAAGCATTGGAACAGACTGCCCAGAGTAATGGCAGACTCACCATCCTGGGAAGTTTTCAAACATTGTGTGAATGTGGCACTTGAGGCCATGGTTTAATGGTGAACATGATGATGGTGCTGGGTTGATGGTTGAACTGGATGACCTTAAAGGTCTCTTAACTTTAACAGTTCTATGATTCAATGATTCTAATTTCATTTTATAGCTGTTTCTCTTGCCTTGTCTTGTATAAATGACATCAGTTGCAAGGAAAAAGTTCATGAGGTACAAGACTAAATATAATCCATAGGTAGTTTCTCCTCAACCATGTCTTGCAATTATTTGTCATGCAGATGCCACAATATTAAGGAATCATACAGGACTTTACTCCAATAATCTACATGTTAAATAGTTGCTAATTAGCCTACAGAGTACTTTGAATTCACTTAATCATAATGAATAATCTAACAAATAATGATCTTGAAAAGTATTTATATGAAAATATTTTAGCTACCATTTGGCTATTAGTTATTTATTGTATTTTAGTTGAATTTTATGTCATACAATGAGCTGTCATCCTCACAGACATTCTCTTCTGTAATCTGTTAATGTACTGAATGTACAATTTACAGTTGTACTGCATCATGCTGTACTGGCTTTTCCATGGAAGATTTGAGGTAACCTGCAGACCTATAACCTTGAAGCATATGGGATACTTGAGCATCCTGGCTCTGGTACATGAAGGGAAAGACCCTGATAAAAGGTTATTCAACACATGAAATGAAAAAAGAAACCACTGTAATTCAATTTCAAGACAGCAAACACACAATAAAAATCTGCTTGGTTTACCCATTGGTTTCACAGTATAGCAGTGCCTGTGTCTAAAAGTTAAGAGTGTGGTTATGAGAGTACTATGAGAGTATTTTATTATGCATAACAATCTCTCCCCTGCCTTCCTGGAAAGCAACACATCAACTTAATGCTCTCCTTTGTGGCTGTCCAGACACAATGAGGAGATGACAAGATCATCACTTATAAATATTGGTCAGGTCATAGGCAAAAAGAGGCCTTTCCTTAACTTAGAGGGAAGTCAGTTTGGCAGAGCACATGGAAGAAATGCAAAGAGCCTTTCAGGGGCACGGAGGAGTCTTTTTATCTCAAATTGGCTATACTCTCCAATAGCCAATCCAGGGCTATACCTGGATTGCAGTTTTGTCATTTGATCCTCAGTGATATATTTTCCTGGGAGAAAAGTGAAAAACTCTGTCATGGACTAGAAGCGTCCTTCAAATAGAATCAACACTTTTTTTCTTGGTCTTCATGAAGGCAGAAAGAGGGAAAAGTTCCTTGTGACTTTACCAGCAGATTTTCTGTCCCTTTTTATGTAAACACTCTGTCTATCCTTCTTGATGGTATTTTTAAGTACACCATGACTTTAATTTTCTAGTGTTTTAACAACTTGTCTGATTTTGTTTTTAACAACTTGTCTCTTAAAATGAAACCTAATTATTTTAGTAAAGAAACATATTATCAATATAAAAATAAAGTGAGCATCTGTCTACTTATCGTCAAAAACCTTCTGTGAATCTGAACTGTATATTTATAAGAGCAGAAGTACTCAGTGAGCACTCACAGCAGAATGGGACAGTGCAATTTTACTGTCATTTTCCATCAGATTAATATCATATATACTGTGAAGAAATATGTAATTATTAGACCATATATTTTTCTGAATTTATATTACTTGCATTAGTTATAATCTTTAATGTACTTTTTAAATGGTACCTACATTTTCTTAAGTAAATACACTGATATTAAAATGAAATTGTTAGTGGTTTCTGGTTTAAAAATAGTTTTCTTTTAGTGTTAATCCCAACAAAAGAAGTCAGAAGTCTTCTCTTGTGGAAAAATGATAGCATACATAATTCTTGCTTAGTGCTATGACAGATCTGTTATTTAGTACAGCATAGGGTGCATGGCTATAAATATGCTGCAGAATGACAGTGGGTGCTGAGAAACTTCTGGGATGAGACATTGCACACACATGTTCCACTTAATACCCAAATGTGAAGTGATGCTCTGATCTGTGTCAGGGTGCTGGCAGCAGGGTCAAGCACAGATGTTGAGATCTCTCACTATCTCATCACTGTAGCTGATTAAAGGTAATAATCAGAGATTAAAATTGAAATTATATGCATCTGCAATCCACAGATACATTAATAGCTAACACCTTCAACATCTGATTCTTGACATTGTCTACAATATTTTAAAATTAGTCCTTTTCACAATTTCTTTGTTGTTTTTGTTGCTAGGCTGAATGATCTGCAACTTTTGTTTATTGTTTTAGGTGGCTTGCCTTATCTCTTGTGTATTAATTCTTGTGGTGATCTACACAATTGGACCTCTGCTGTACTGGCTTCCTATGGTATGCTACTTAACTTTTTTAAAGATTAAGATGTCAAACATTTTCTAAGGACATTTTCTTCCAGGGAAAGACCGTGCAACCTTTAAAACAGCTCTATTTAATTTCAGTGGCCGAAAGAATAGTAAGGGTATGGTAAATCTTGAAACCATAAAGTACAGAGGTGACAGCATAAGACATATAGATTTTAGACATACAAGTTACATATATAGGCTATCACATCAGAGTATAGAAGTGAATTCCTCTTCTACTTTCTTTTGACATGTAGTTTACAAAAAATATACATCCAGGTCGCTGCAGATTTGTAAATTGACAAACTGTCATAGAAATTAATGAAGATTAATGATATTTTTCCTGATATGCACATGATACAAATTTTGCTTTTCAGATAGATATGATGCAAATTATTTTAAATAGTGATATAAGCTTATGACAAAAAGATTATAAAGTATTCTTATATCTCTGTCATACATCTATGCTAAGACTCTTTAAAGTAGTGTGACATCTTTTCACATAAGCTATATCTAGCTTTTGGTATTACAAATTAATAGTTAATTTTAACTAGCGGCATGTCAAAGCTGCTAAATACAGCTCCAAAATTATCCACAATTCTGCCATGTATGTACATGAAGTTTTAACTCAACTATGTTTTAAACTTGCTTGGTGCTATTGTTTACATGGTGTCATGAAAGTTCTCACTTTTCAAACACTGATCCTTTTATAGCTTATTTTAACCATGCAAAGTAAGGACACTTGAAGATGGGTACACAGTATGTCCTGGGTTTTTTGCTATACTTCTTCCCTACTTTCATTTGTTTTCATATGAATTATAGGTAAATTTTGACCAGTTCCCTGTAGGTTTTTCTACCTATATTTTAAAAATACTTTTTGGTTTTTGCTTTCTTGATAGTTTATTTCTCTTCTAATATGCTTTTTCAGCCCCATCTCTGCACTGTAAGTCCATTGGTTTGTACTCCATTATTTTTGGCTCTAGATGATTTCTTCATCCATCTCCTCTTACTTCCTGAGTCAAAGAACAAAAACAATATTTTTTTTGCCTCAAAATTAATGGACCTTTGCCCTAGAGGCCTTCTCTAGGGATGGGAAGGAAGTGAGGAAAGGGAGTTACAATTCTTCACTGCATAGAAGTTGAGTGATTTGCTTTCGAGTCCTTCAGACTGTGGGAGAATGCATTTGGTCTGGTGAGGCATGGAAGAGTCTTGAGTAGTCCTGAGGTTTCTGTCATTTTTCTCTCAGTTAGGTAGCCTGTAGATTGCCTTCACAAAAAAAATGGGGATAGGGTGGTTGTTGCCGTTAGCAGCTGTCACAAGGACACCTGTGCTTATCCCTTTTTCTAAACACCTACCAGTTTTTTTATAATTTAATTATGATATTGACTACTAAATTAAAGAAACAGCATTTGTTTTCACTAACAACTATGCAAATGGCTTTTGTGTTTATGTCTTTGCAGTGTGTGTTAGCAAGCATTATTGTTGTGGGCTTGAAGGGGATGTTAATGCAGTTCCGTGACTTAAAAAAATATTGGAATGTGGATAAAATAGACTGGGTAAGTAAAACTTAATGTAAGGAGGTTTTCCTGAGACCATTTGGCAAACATCTGTTAACTAAACTTTAACAGTTCTGTGGCCCTAGAAGAAATAAGTGCAAGATATTATTAGTAGTGCTTTTTGTGCACTATCAGCTCAGAATAACAGCATCTGTAATATCAGTTGTATTAAAAAATAACATTTTAACCAACGATAAGGAATCAAACCTGATGCTAGAGATATGTATGCAGACAGATCAAGACAATATGAGCAAATATGTGTCTAATTTTTATGTCTTTCTTATCTGTTTAAGATGCTTTTGTTATTGTAGTGTTATTGAAGAGATTTTGGTAGCATCCTATCCTCTGTGAATAGGGAATGACCACACAAGTCAAACAGAACTGGAAGCACTAGTGATGCAGGAAGATAAATAGTGAGGGGTGCTGCAGGTAAATTGCCTTAATTCTTTCAGATTTTGCAGAAATCTATCTACTGTTTGAACAGAGTGAAAGATTCTGCACTATGAGAGGAGGAATAAATCAGAAAAAGTAGATAGGTGAAGAGATAGAGTATGAAAATTTAGTTTGATGCAAAGTCTAAATAGTCTGAGAGAATTTGCAAGAACTCCATAGTAAAGATGAATCCTGGATGTAAGAAGACTCCTGGATTTCTCCTGTGGGAGATTTTGGGTGTAATGGCCCATTAGTGGAACAAAAATTTCTGCTGACGTCCTGCATGTTTGAGTTAACAATATTCAGAAAGGTATTTTGGCCATATAGTCCTTGTCTGTGGTGGGAAATGCAGGTAATTGGAGTTGATAGGACTTTTTTGAATCCACCAGTTACTTAGCATTCTATAGCAGTAATTGTTAAGTCTAGAAAGAATAAAACTTTTTTCTTGTTAGACTACTGCATTTTAGTATGGGGAACAGAGCTGAGTAAGCAACATCAAGTTTGTGAGACTTTTCACACTTGGTTGCAGAAAACTAGAGGTTCAGAAGACTTGTTTTTGGAGGTTTCTTTTGTATTATCCAGAAGAAAAGTTCTGTATTTCCTGAAATATTTTCTTCCTCAAGCAGTAAAATTCTGAAAATATTTTCTATCTCTTGTTTTATATTTGATCTTCAGCTTAACCCATATTGCCAATGACAGAAATTATGGATAATGTGGATCAAGAATTATTTTGGGAACAATAGACTTAAAAACATTTAAGTCATTAACATTTAAACATTGGTAGTTATGGGAGAGAGATATATCTTCTCCATCAGTTCATTGAGATAATAAGTAGTTACACTTTTCAGCAGGATATTTTGGAATCTCACTAAATTTGACGTGTCTTCACAGACAGACTAACCTGACTGATTTTTGCTTTTCTGGTTTTGGCAGAAAAGGTTGTGTGAGTAGTTAGTTATTACATCTCTGACATCTGTCATCATTTCTAAGAGAGGCTATAGAAAGGGGGAGTTTGCTGGGTTCATCTTTTTGACTAAACATACTTGAGCAATGATTTATCTTCAAGTAGTTTAACCATCAGTCCTCAGCTTGACAGGATAAATCATCTTGCCTTAAATAGCATAGTTTAAAGAAAGGCTATAAACATTGATCTTGCATTGCTGCCTGCTTTGAGGAGCCCCACCAAGGCCAGTGATTTGTGTAACTACACTGGTTATTTTGGACTGAAAGGATTCACCCCAGTAACTGACAGAACGCTAGAAATGAATCATTCCATCACCCAGGTTATCCAAAGTGTTCTGAAGACAGAAACCCTAACAAAACATTTGGAAATAATTAGGAGTTGTCCTTTCTGGAACTGATTCTTTGAAGGGTGTGTATCATGTAGAATTGAAGTCAGGTTTGTTTTGGTTATAGGTCTGGCAAATGATTGTGCATGGAAGTGGAATATTATGGAGTTTGTTACCTTGTTCCTTTACACTTCTTTAAGCATCTCATTAGACACAAATGGGATGAATATATTTATTTGTTGATTAGCTCTCTATAAACACAATCCTTTTAAATGTAGAAGGTATGATATTGTTCAGGGGTTGGAGTTGAGGAAATCCATTGGTTCCTCAAATCACAGGATATTCTGTGTTTCTATGAAATCTCTTCTTTCAGCCATGGGTGTCTTTTTCTTTCAGATTTACATCCTCTCAAATCACATTTGATTACTTTTCAGCTACTACCCCACTTATTCCAGAGGTTTTTTCCTTGCCATTTGAACTTCAAATGTCTCCTGCTTCAGTTAAGGTCTTCTGTCAGTCCCTACACCTTGGCTTCAACAATCTCAGATTAATAACTGCATTATTCCACTATATATGTTATATTCATAACTGAGAGTGATTTGTCTTGATATTTTCTGCTTTTTCTGAGAAAAGCCAGGAAGCTAATCTGACCTTGTCTGTAAATACATCTCATTTCTCAGGTCCTCAGGTCAAAAGATTATTTCCTGTCCTTCCTGTAAGCCTAATTTCCTATGCAGGCAAATTTTACTAGCTTGCTGTTTTTATTCTCCAGCTTGATAGGGCTGGTGATACCTGTGATATTCTCCTAGTATTACTAAAAAGGCCAGTGAAGTTCTTGTTAACTTTTGATTTTAAGGCTCAGGATCACAGATAAGCTGCCTTTTAAGACAGGCAAAAATACTGCCTGGCAATGGACTGCTGAAGAAAAATGTTCTCTTTGCTGTTAACAGTTGGACTTGAAAGTAACCAGAGATGGGGGGAAAATATTTCAGAAGGTGATGTTCCAAGTGAAAAATTATAACAGAATAAGGATCATTTTCATGAGTTAATTATATACCAGGGATTTGAGAAGATCAGCAATGAAATACTCTGGCATTTAAAGAGAAAAAAAAAATGTTTTAAAGTTACATATGTGTCTTGACCAGAAAATGACCACAGCTGAGACAAAGCCAGGTTGGATGCCTGACTTTTAAAGTAGAACAAATGGCCAGAATTTATGGTAAAAATGACACATTCCCAACATGGTGTTGTGATGAGAGGCAGTTATGAATGCATGCAGCATGAATTATAATTGTATGCACATATATTAATATTAAAGGATGTAAGGAATGCTATTAATTCAGCAATTAAAGTAGATCCAAGAATGAGGGTCTCATTTTTGACAAGTATCCTCCAAGATCTTGCCATTGTGAAATTCTGGGACATGTATCCAATATCCTGTCAATCTATTTTGTCACAATATTTAGAGAAGAGGCCCTAGAAAGGGTCTTCCTTGAAATCTGGAGCTCATTAGTGCATTTTCTTGGGGTTTTTTAAAACTTCTTTTGATACTATCCTCAGGAGGAAAATGGCCTTTTAAATTTGTTCATCGCACATGAGTCCTGATTTGTGAGAGGGCTCTGAGAGCTCTCAGGGCTCTGCTATGCTTTACAAAGAGAGTGCTCTGCTCTGCTTTCCTCTGCAAAGTAGGAAACCATCTCTTCTATGAGAATTGTTTTACATCAATGATTCTATCTTATGGCATCCTAGGGAGATTTTCTGTTTTTCCTGCCTTAGTGAATATGCTAGTGTGAGTTACATTACTTGTGCTGTAGGTGGTATCAAAGAACTACAGCACCACTTTAGGATCATTTAGGTTGGGAAAGACCTTTAAAGACCATCTAATCCAACTGTTAATCCAACACTGCCAAGTCTACTCCTAAACCATGTCCCTGAGTGCATTAGGCAGTTCCTGCCCTATGGCTGTGGTGGGCTTCACTTGAATGCCAAGTTTTCATGAAGGGTATGCTGAAGATGAATGCACACGTTAGTCATTTGTCTGCAGAAGGATGTGGGACCATGGCCATGTCACTCAGTCCTTTGAGCCAGAGCCTCGTCCAGGACTCCAGCATCCTCTGCTGAGACAGTTTTGGAATGAGCAGGACTTTAATGGGATTCTTTTGGCTATATGCTGGAGGGCCTCTGTTAGAGCAGCTCATCCCAGCCTCACATTACAGACAGCACAGAAATGGTCAGCTGAGACATATTCATCTCTTCCTTCATTAAGCTACAGCATAACCAGGTAGGAGTTAGATGAACTGCATCCTAAATTTCATCCATTCTGATAACCAAATCCACTGATTAAGGTAGGAGACTAGACAGCTGTGTTGCAGCTAGTTACATGCGAGGAACCCTACCCATTCAGGCAACAGCTGATCATCTCCTCAGTTTGCAATGAAACAAGGCAAGTGCATAATCTGCTTTTAAACTGGTACAGCAACACTTATTTTCACCGTACCTTAGCATTGCATTGTTTGGCTCTAGGTTCAGAAAGTATTCTGCAACTTGTTTATATGATTTTTTTCCTACCAAATGCAGATTTTAGACTGTCATCAATGGTGGATAATTAGACTCTATGAAATGGAAAGTCTAGAGGAGGCAGCTGCTATACACAGTCACTGTACCTCAGTGCTTCTGATACTTTCTGGTACATACAGGAGTTGACACAAACCTACTTCTTCTGCTTGTTTCTTTTCTCCCTCTTTGGAGTTTTCTTTAAATTAGTACAGTACTTTGAAGGTGGATTTTGTTTTGGTTTTTGATATTAGCATGTACCTATAACACATTGTTGCTAAGATCTGAAGATTTATTAGATTCTATCTGTCCTGGAGTATGCAATAAACATACTGAAGTAAGCTGCCAAGGATAACTTTGATATTTTTATCACTTCTATGTTGAACTTTGCAATAACCCATGAATTAAAAAAAAAAGTCTATCAAATGAACATAACTTCTTTCTACAAGTTTGATGCTACCCTAATTAAAGAAGAACTGCTTCCAGGCCAATATAAAGCACTGAAAGAGTGGTTGATTAATGAGAGTATGAGTTTTGGCTCAGCCTCTACAACAATGGCAGTCTCTGAATACAGTTAAGATGTAAAGTACTGGGCTGCTGGAGAGGCACTTAACTAACTATCTCAGTAGTCGGCAGTACTTAAACAATTGTGGCTTTGATTCTTCCTATGCAGGCTTTGTATTGTGTTTTTATGCTGTTTTCTTCTGAGACATAAGAAGTTTGCAGGTCTGCAGTAGTGATTTAGTCAGATGTGATGAGGTTCAGGTCTGCAGCTGAACTGGATTGCACTGGAGTGGATTCAGGTGCTGTCAAGGGTTCAGCCTTATTAATAAGATAGTCTAATTCTTGATCTCACTGATTTTCAGATTTTCAGTAGTTCTGTTAGACTTAGGTGAGCTTCTTTATAAATGTATGTTGGATTTATAAATCTTAGCATTACTTTCTTATTCATTAATCAGACCTCAATATCTGCTGTTCATAAAGGTGGTCTTTGCAAATATATGCACAACACTTCATATAAGATCTCATGTCAAAATACAGCTCGTGATTAAGGACAGTTTCAGAGGATGAGCCACCTCCTTACCTAGCAGCCCTCCTGTTGAAGAAACTGAAAAGTCTTTTGCAGTAGTTAGGAATCTTGAAGATGAGGGGGGAAAAGGTTTCTCAACAGTCACGTAACATTCTGTCCTCTGTGAAGCACAAGTTAGCATGGTATGAATTACACTTAATAATTCATAAAATAACAGTTCTGAAATCTGCTCAAGCAAAATCCCTGTGCTTGGGCTGAAAGTATTCTATTGTTTCTGGCTTTCGTGAGTTACAGAAAAGATAATCTTCAAAATTACTGTGCCATTGTAATGTGATCTGTTATTGTGCAAACATGAACAAGCAGCTCTGTAATTCTTAAAACAGGCACCTGTTGGGATCAGTATATCCAGAGAAATGAAATACTTTCCAGTATTTTTTAACACTTTTTATATAAAGATTAGATGGCAATCTTGGCTTAAGGCTCCCTCAAGGAAAGAAAGATGTGCTTTATTATACCAATTAGGTTGGTATAAGAAATTGAGTAATTCGTACTTTTCTTTTAATTGTAAAATCTGCATGTCTCTTGGCTGTACACATCATTGTAGTATGGAAAGAAAAGTGATCATTTCTGGTAAGAAAATAATTAAGGAAAAATTGAAATGTGAAAGTTTTGTAAAGTTTTTTAAAAATTCTTTTTAAAGTGACCTTAGTTTCAGATATGCTTCTGAGTATTTTTTAAATTTGCATTTAAAATTAATCCAAAGTTTTAGTAATCAAACATTGAAAGATGGGGAGGTAATATGAAATCTCACCATTTCCATTGGAAGGAATTAATTCCCCAGTAATTTTTATTTGTAATAGAGTTGTTTTAGTCAGCTGTACTCTGACAAATGCCACTTTTAATCAACCTTCTTGCCAATCATAATTCCCACTTGTATGATTAGTGGAAGAAAAGGTCTCTGTATGTGACCTCATTAGGGCACCTCTTTATGGGAAAGGAAAGGAGGATTTAAAATCTATGCAGCGAAGAAGGAGATGAGAATTTGCAATGTAAAAAATAAAACGCAGGTTTCTGAAACAACTGAGTTGATTCTGACTTAAGCTGTTAGCAGAAGTACAAATGCTATTTTGAGTAACCCTGGAAGGAACCTCTGTGAGCACTGGGAAGAGCTGTGCCATGCTGCATGTGGTTCCCCATGGGGAGGCATTACTTTAATTGCTAATTCAGTCTTCAGTATTTGCCAGTTCAAAGATTCAAATGTTCACATCTGAGAAACTAGCTTAGTTTTAAAAATCTTTATTTCGGATTCATAAAATGCACATTGCTATAAAATTTGAAACTAATCACTTCTTTTTGCCCCCCTCCTTAAAGAGCATCTGGGTTAGTACCTATGTGTTTACAATATGCTTTGCTGCTAACGTGGGACTGTTGTATGGCGTTATGTGCACTATAGCAATCGTGATTTTCCGCTTTCCCAGGTAAGAAACAATTTATTGAAATGTTCCACTAGCACCTCATTATGTATTCCTTCTGCATATTTCTTCACAGTCAGGATAGACATACGGTATACTAAATTTAACAACTAAACTTCAGGTTTTTAGTTGCAGAAAATTGCAAGATAAGACAATTTAAAAGTAAAAGTCACATCTGTCATTTACCGTAGACTAAGGAATCTCTAAAACATTTTATAAAATGGCATTGTTTTGTGATTTCTCTTATTATTACACATCTGTAGGATTCATTAAGTGAAGGTAGCATAAAATCAACTGGAAGATTACTAATATTTTTTTCCATTAGATATTTATTTGCTCCTTAAGAAAAAAGTATGTTTGGCAAGCTTTATAACTAAGAGCCTTTATAAATTCCTAGGTACTATGTTGCACAGGAATGGGTAGCTGACAATTGCACTGCTAATACAGATTAATGAAACATAACTGTACAACTATTCTAATGTCTAGCAAAATGTGTAAGTTTTGTGCACAACTTAGAAAAGTCAAGACAAATAAACTAGAGCCATCAGAAGTTTGGGGTTTTTTTGTTTGTTTGTTGTTTTTTTAAATTTTTTATTAATATATTATAGTTGCTACTTTGGATCATGAGTAAAGGGAAATATAGCTGAGGTTCATGATTGATTTGTGCTACAAAATTAATCCACAGCTCACCAGTCCTGGAAATGACTTGCTGCTTGCATGCAGTTGTTTGCATGAACATTGAATCCCAGTGAAATTAAGCACAATATAGACAGCTCGATTATATGCTTGTTAAAGTTAATGGTGTTAGACATTTGTGCACAGCTTTATTCTCATAGAATAAGTTAAAGAACCAGCATGAAAATAGTTCAAAATTTCAAGGCAGTTAAAAATAATGGGAGATTGCTTCTGCTTGAATTAACTGATACATTTGTGATAACATTGTGCTACTCAGCAAACTAAAATTTTGGTAAATTCTGTAGTAAAGCAAAAGGCAAGATTTCATGCTGTTTTTGTCCTGAGCCTGGATGTTAAAGGCTCTCCAAAAGCAGAAAGTGATGGATATTTAACAGAAAGAGCCAGATGTGGAGGAGACCTCAGTCTGAACCTGCACTTATTAATGTAAATAAGACTCTTCTTGCTGATCTCTGTGTTCAGTAAAGCTGCACATGATTGTCCACACCATCTAAAGGCATTGAACAAAGCAGCAGCCCTAAAGCTGGCACGGCACAGATGGGGTTAACGAGATAATGTGTAGTAAGCCGTGCAATCATGAGCAGAAGTGTTAGCAGAAGCGAAGCAAGGAAAATACCATAGATTATTTATTGTAAAGTTTCTGTTCAGATGTCAGAGTGCTGGATGTGGTACATGTTATGTATCAGACTGTATTAAAAGCAGCAGCAGCTACAGCTTCATTTATGCCGAGATGAGAGAACAGCTGATGTTTGCAAGGCTCATTTATCTGGCCCCAATACCTGCAAATACTCCTGGTATATTGGTGCATCTGTCTCAGAGGATAGATAGTTCCAGTTAAATGTGTTCCTGTAAATGACATGTTGAATCAGAAGATTCTAACACTGAGCTCCTTTTCCAAGGCATTTTTCTCTTTTCTCTCTGTAGAGAGCATAGGAATACTGGTGCTTTCCAGTAAGTCCCCCATTTTGATAGCTAGAATGCAATGTTCTGCTTCATCATGTAAAGATGTGTCAATTTCAATGACAAATTAAATATCTTTATTTTGCATGACCCACAACTATTATACAAATTTATTTTCCCTTTCCTTAAAATATGATCTTTGCAGGTAAAAAATATTAATTAAACTTCTTTACTTTTGAACATATAGATTATATACGAGCTACCTTGACTTGAAAGTAGCTCTGGCCAGCAAACAAAAATTAAAATTAAGATATTCTTCACAAAAGAATTTCATTATTCATATTTTCAAAGTGATCTCAAAATTCTAAAATGAGCTTTTTACTGTTTAAGAGGATGATTATCAGAAAAGAAAAGGTCTGTAATAAAAAGAATACTCCCAGATTGCATTTTTGGACCTTTAAATTGCTATGCTGTAGCTTGGGGTGTGTGTCTTTTTGTTTCTGTTCAAGACTACTAATGATTAACTGTACAGATTTTTCTCTATGTATTGATCACAGAGCAAAGACACTGAATTTGAAAAATATGAAAGAAGTGGAATACAAATACAAAGTAGAAGATAATTGTGTAAGTTAATTTCTTTTTTAACTTTCTGTGTGTGTGTTTCACTAATTCAGATTTGTTTGCTTTCTCTAGTTAGTTACTAGATCATAATCAGGGAGTCAAGGGAATGCTTTTATGATATGACCACTTGAAATCTAAAGCCAGGATAATATAATAATATTATAGTTGGCCATCGCTGGAATATTTTCATGGTGGTTCTGCTTGTCTGCAAAGTGAAATTAGGCAAGTCCTCTTAGATTTATCTATCTTAGTTTATTTGTCATTTATAGTTATGAATTGCTCTTTCTCAGTGTTTCCTAATTCCTAAAGTTAAGTAAATATCTTGCCAGGAATGGCAAGGGCAATCTGAGCAGACAATAGCAGTCTCTGCATTATTATCAGTTTTCCTAAAAGCCCTTTGGTATTTTTATCATCCCCAATCTCTTTTCTGAAACCATTTCTCTCCCCAACCCCTCGTGACCAGATTGTCCCAGAGGACACCACAAGGCTGGGCAAAGAGGGGCAGCACGACAAATTGGTTACAGACTGCTTCACAAATTTCATCACCCTGTGTACATGAAAAATGGGTGGAAGAATCTCTCCTAAAGACTGTGCCTTTTAAATCTGGCTTCTTAAAAGCTTAAACCAACCAGTCAGATTCTTTGGTTATTTTCATTGCAATTATCATCAAAGTTGCTTTTTGCTCAGGTCTGTGGTAAGGAGAGAAGGGTAATGACCCAGAGAGGTGAACTCCCTCCTCCAAGATGAAATGGTAGGTCAGCAGCCAAGAGAGAAGTAGAACCATGTGTCCTGTCAGCAGAGAGCCCCATCACCAGGACATCCTGCCTTTTCCGCTGTGGCAGTTTCTCTTTCCCTTCTTTGTGCTTTTTCCCTTAGTGCTGATGGAGAGTCTTATGTATCAGTAAACTACATGCTCAGTAGTTAGTGCTTCACCATTAAGCAGAACTTCTGTAAAGAATTTATTATTTCTGGCAAATGTCTTCCATCAAAGCTATCTTGGGCTAAAAATCTGAACTTCCGAGGACTCAAGGGCATTTACTGTTTTGGCAGGCTGGCAAACGTTGGAATGTGAAAGGTACATAAGAATGGGGAGGACTCTGAAATGTGAATGAAAAACGCTGTTGTTGAGGCTGGATCAGCTGTCAATTATTATATTACTTTTCATTCTTAATAAAAATGTTGGAGTAACCTTGTCAGAGATGGGTAACAAAAATTTGATTTGCCTGCTATTTTTCATATCGGTCCATGAAGCACTTTGTACAAATGCCTATACATTTTTTTTTAAAGCTTAAAAAAGCTGGTCCCCTGCTTTTTTTCCCCCTAATTCAGTAAGATTAACGCCAGTAACCTAATAACAAACTAGTGTCTGCAGACAGTGGGGAAAATAACATTATGTTAGAGACGCAAATTGCTCAAGAGCTATTACACAAAACAAAGAAGGAAAATATGCCTTTAATTGAATTTAGAGTCACTGGGTTGCAGCAGTCATTTAGGGTAATTTTTAATGTATGAATGTTAGACTGATCCAAGTTTCCCTGGTAAGTAACAGATTAAACATAAACAACAGGACTTTTAAACATGAAAATATGCAGGCTTAATGATCTACCCTGCCATTAAGGATTTATAGGGGTTATTTCATCAATAAGAGAAAAGACACTTTAATGTGGAAAAAAATCAAAGGGAATTTAGAAGGTTATGTGAAACACATTTCATCCCAGGCGTTCGCTGGCACTGAACTCGCACCCGAGCAGAGTGTGCAGGGGAATCGCCCCGGGCCTTCCGAGGGGTGGCAGGAACAGACACCTGAGATAAATTTCCTGCTTTCTTAGCAAGGACACAACAAAGAGGAAGTTTTGGTTTCTTCTGAACAGTTCTTGTCATCAAAGAGTCAAACCAGAGCCAGGAATAACTGGCTGGTCTAATTTAGGCCCAGTTGACCTTGTCCATTCTGGACAAAAATTATACCCAAGTCTGCCATTTGCTTGATCTGACCTTATGATCAGAGCCTTTCAAGTTTTGGACTTTGTACTTATGGAAGCTTGATCATCACAGGATTTGATCTTTGCACATCAGTCTTCCTTTTTTCTTATCTTTTATCTTCTACTTTGCCATGGCACTGAAGTGTCCACTTGTCTCTACACCAAGCTGTCTATAGCATCATTTTTGTGGGAATCTGTGGGATGTCAGAGCATTTCTCCATTCAAGCACATACCATGCTTTGTTTTGCCCTCAGTTTAGAGCTCTATTCCATACAAACAGATACATTTTAACTGCCAGTTGAGTTTTGCCACATATCTGACTGTGGCAAAACTCATTTGTGGTATTTTCTGCAATCACATCCATAGGTTAATTGCGCAAAGTCTCTACACAGAGTCTGGGGTTCCTTGCCTCAGTTGGGATGTTTGAAATGTTTCCTTTATTTCATGGTCACTGTGGTGGTGTCTGAGAGATCATCTCATTCCCAGAAGTCTGAATAGCAGTCTACAATAAGGAGATAGTTTATGTGGTTTGTGGTTCCATTTCTGTTTTGCTTGAAAGTCTGTTGGGAAAACTGCATATCTTCAATGCAATCCCGAACAATTTTTAACTACCTAAAAAATGGTCCGTGTCAGCTCCACTTACTTGTGTTTGACTGTGACATTGTTACATGATTTTTGTTAGGAAGAAAGAGTATTTGCTGACCTTTATTCTCTTGCAAATTCTTGATTTTTGCTTCCATTGTCACACAACCTGTGGAAGATTGGGAGTTCAATAGAAGCAACTTCTACAGAAGTTCCCCTACAAAACCAGTCTTTAAGCATGTCTTACTGCTGTCCAATATATATATACACATATATAAATATTATTTTTCTTACTGGCTTTTGATGATTTTTTATATGTGCACCTTGAGAGTGAGAGAAATAACACTTGTTTTGTGCAAAATGTCTGCCACTTGTACCTGAGGGTTTCGGAACATCATCTGGTGCCCTTCCAAAATTGTTCTGCTGTGTAACATTTATGTTTTGAGCTGCACAGTCTGACTGAAGGTGCTGGTAAGCTCGTTGTAGCTTATTTAGTGAAGTGCAGAGACAGGTTCAAGGGCAATGGAGAGTTGTGAAGATTATTGTGTTGGTGGTAGAAATATGCTGGTAAAGCTTTAAATGTGCCACTCAAGGTTGATCTGTATCCATTAAATATTTTCATGGAGAACTGTCTCTGTACTAAGGTCATCTTCAGATGAGCAAGATGAATATTGCCAGCTTTCCCCAAACCACCTGCAGTGTTTGCCTTAAATCCTTGTGTACTTTTTACAAGATGCGTTTGTCTAATAAAATATATTCCCTGTCTGCAAATGTTACCTTGTCTATGCTTGGGAATCACACCAACTGAAATAATGCTATTATAATTGTTAGCTAATAGTTCTTAGTATTATGCCTCATAATGTGTATGCTTGTTTTCACGCTAAATAGTATTATAGATAATTTTCATTATATATTACTTGTGTTTCCATTCTTACTTCAGTTATGTGTGAAGGCTAATCTATATAACTATCTGTTAAATCATTTTCACAATCCAAAGCTCCTCCTAAGTTATTTCACAGGTATTTTCAGGTTTTTGAAAGAAATGAGTCCGGGGTTTGTTCTCCAAATCCAAGATGAACTTTTCAGCATTATGTTTATTTCATTCCCCAGGAATCACTAAAACAGGTAAAAATAGTTTCAGTCAACAGCCCGTTAGTCTTTTTGAACGCCAGAAAATTTCACGCTGACCTGTTAAAGATAATCCAGAAGGACGGCATGAGCAGCCAGGTATGTGATATTGTAAACAAGGTGGGATGTGCTTTACACTTCAGTAATCACCATGACTAGCTTGAAGATTTTGTTTGCCTTCCTTGCATTTCTTAGAGAATGCAATCAGATACTGAAACAGGTATAAAGAAGCAACATTTGAAATTATTCATTTAGAATAAAGCTAATTCTAATCTTAATCAGATTCAATATGGACTATTTTTGTATTACTTGAAAATAATATCCCTTCTATTTCTGCATATGGTCCTGTAAGAGACATTAAAGCACTTATCCAAAACTCAAAATTTCTAGAAGAACTTACATAATCTCATTTGATATAAGGCTGGGATTTTAGAAAGACAATGAGTAGCTACAAATGTGCTTGAATAAAATGTGATTTTTTTTTTCCTGGAGATAAATCCCTGAGAGATGGACACTTCATTTCTAACTATAAATAATTTTGGGAGAATTAGGAAGAAAGTGGCTACATTTTATCAATGATATTGCTGCTTTTTCCTCTTTTGCACTGATTGTATTAGAAAAATAAACAGTATACAAATTAGGTATATCACATTTTTGCAGAATATCCCTGTAAGTATAGTATTTTTCCAAGTTCATCTGCACATAACTACTGCAACTTCCTGCAACACTTCCTAAAAGGGAAAAGATAAATTATCATTTTTCTATCAGTGCCATGAAGACATTCCAATATGATACAATGCTTACTGTAGACAATTTCATCCATTTTGTCAAATTGGGCTGAGAAAATCCAAGCTGTGTCTTAGATGGGTTGTTAAGGTAGCAACATGTCTTAACCACCTATGCTGTCCCCTGACAAAGAGTTGTGCTACTCATATGTACTTAGATGGGTGGAAATTCAGCTCAGAAAATGTGATGCCTTTTTCCCTTGGTTTTGCAAGGCTGACTGATTTGGATTAGTATGATAAAAAGGCTCCAAACAGAAAGAAATTACTTAGGGTTTACATGGAATTAATTTGAGTCAATTTAATAAGTTAATTTGTACATTACTTATAAAGGAGATTTTACCCTTTGTCTCTTCTGTAAGGTACTCAGCAGTACAGCTGTCTGAAACAATTTTTTTTTTTTTAATTTTTTTTTTTTTGTTGAGTAAAAGTCTTTCTGTAGCACATAATGGGTGTGAAAAAATGCAGTTTCACTTTTGTTTCTGTTCTCTGTTTCTGGTTTTAACTCATGTTTCTATGAGAACTTGCATATTGAAATAACCATTATAAAAATTGTCAAGATGAATATAATTTTTTAATAAATTTACACATCAAAAATGTTCTTACTAAAATATTAGCATAGCAAATGAGATTGCAGCAAGTAGAAAATTAATCAAAAGTTAATCTTATAAAATCACTGCCAAGAATTTTTCTTGTCAAGAACATTTTTCCCATCTTTTGACCACTTCTTAACCACCCCCCGCTTTCCAAAAGCATTGTTTCCAAAATATGCTTTCTAGTGAATCCAAGCTTGACAGAGGTTGAGCCAGTTAAAAAGAAATGAAAATATCAGATTGAGTATGTATCTCAGCATTCTTCTAAAGTTATACCAGAAAATATTATACATACAACAGGCTATTGCATAGGGCATGATTTTGGAGAGAATGAGTTAACGTTGGTACTGAGAAACAGAATTCTTATGTATTGCATTGATTTTCTCTCTTCACTGTGCAATGGACTGGTTTTCCTTGATATGTTAATAATGTGCTGCTTTTATTTCAGTGTGAGCAGAACACATTGCTCTGTTCATTTTCCAATGGAAGTTGCCATGGTGAGTTTGTTACCTACAAATGGTGTTAAAACAAGATGGATGTAAGTGTGCAAAATAGTTCCACATTTTTCTATATATTTCTAGGTGCACACAAGTTCTGAGGAAATAAATATTTTCAGTTAGACCAAACATTCAATGAAGCATGAATGATAAATTAAATTATGCTAACCTTGGCCTAATAAGTCCTGTAATTCATTCTGGTTTTGACAGACATTTTAAGATTTCAAAAGCAGGGAACCCCTTGAAAATGCCTTTTTTATGGGAGTGGACCCTTCCATTGGAAGTCTCATTGCCCATCACACATGGGTTGGAACAGGATGATTTAAGGTCCCTTCCAACCCAGCCCACCCTCTGATTCTGTGTCCCTGTTTACTGCACTGGAATGAGTGTGTGTGTAAAGAGACAGGTACATAGTGGGGAAACCCTTCCCGTACTGTTGCCTGAACTCATCTTCCGACCAGGTTGAAGAGACTGTTTTGCTAAGCTCTAGTCTTGGGTTTTTTTTTGCATGCAGAGTATATTAGTATGAAAAAGTAAAAGTAAGATTAGAACCATGTAAAATCTTTGGGATCTTTAATGCCACATAGGAGGAAATCTCAGAAAATGTCAACTGAATTGTTAGTGACACGATAACCACCAATATTATACAGTATATCAATACAATATATAATAAAAACTCCTAGAGCTTTCCTTTCAATTAAGCTGGAAACTCCACTCTTTCCACATTTTGTAGCACTTAAATCAAACCAGAGCACATACATTCCCATGGGAGAGCTGCAGCAACCTTTTGCAGTGGATACTTCATACAGATGATTTCATTGTGGATAGAATTAAAACAGTGTTTATTTAAAACCCTTATAAGCATTAAAGCCACAGTAGAAAACCTGATTTGGAGGCTGTTATCTGAATGTTTGCATTTGTTAACTAGACTCAGGACATTTTTATGGTACTACAATGTTTAGTTAACTTAGGGGCAACAAAGTGCTTTGCTGTAGTATAGCAACCGATGAAAAGGGTTATTGAAGATGATATTGTATTTTATCGACTATATTGTAAAATATTATGTTTGAGATCTTACCAGTACATATTTCAGTCATCTTGAAGATGAACTGGTTTCTCATATACAAAAGTGACAGAAAGCACAAGACCTCTTTTCTGAATGCCTAAGACCTGCCTTGAGGACTTAAATGCTGTCATTACTTATATCAACCAGTCTATGGTGATTCTTCATAGGGTCTTTTCAACAACAAACAGAGAAAAAAGAAAAATCCTTTTAAAAAGAAAAGCAAAATGCTGAGCTTAAATTTTCAAGGATGGGAGCATGAGGACACAATCCTTAAGCCTTATGGCAGTTGTCCAGGAAAACATGGGAAAAAATGTATGCTTTCATCAGAATCTTCCCTTTATCCCTTTGGGGAATACTGTCTCTATCAGCACCAAGTGAAACAGCTGTTCTGGCTCATGCCACTGATCCAAAGAGGGTGCAGGTCTTTACCTACCGCCCCATTTAGAGGCCAGAAAGCCTCTATTGCAATTCAGGATGCAGCAGGGAATTATTATACTGAGCCTGGGAGATCACATGAACCCCTCCTGTGTTTTTATCACAGTAATTTTCAGGAGGTTCCCTCTAAAATCCTATCTTTTTCTTTGTATGTATCTATTCATGCACATTACACAGAACAGAGACAGTAAATGTCTGGACATGCAAGTCCAAAAGTCTTTGCTCTCAGACTACTGTCGGAAAGGAATTACCATCATTACAAATTTGCATGATGGGAAAATTCCAAGTCTCCTCAATAGTTTAAAATCTTTACCTCTGCTCTGCCAAAGCCATTCAGCTTAACTCATCTTTACAATCAGAATTGCTTTCCTTCATTTTTTTTTTCAGTTGCGTGCATTGTGAACAAACATTTGTTCACAGAACAATGTAAATAAGATGTGCAGTATTTTCTAGTTTTCACTTTATGAAAGCCAGGAATCATTTATCTGTGTGCTAGCTCAGGATGCGTTTAGAACAGAGTATGTTTTGATTAAACACAAGATGGCCTGAGGTTGAAGAATGAATATAAGAATTTTGCTAATCTTGCCAACACAATTTTCTTCTCCAGCATGAATGCGTAGTTGTGTATTAAAAAATTACCCAGTCAACAACCAGCATAGTAAAGCCTTAGGAAAATTAAACACTCCACTTTAGATCTATTTCTTCCTTATGGGTGAATATTAAGTTAAGCCATAGGCAGGTGTTTAGGGCCTATGAAAATCAGTGTCATATCAGAATTTAAAAAAAAAAAGATATATTGTCTTTGTATACCATGAAAAATCTTCCAAAGAAGCCAACTCAATGAGAAATTAAAGTCTGAAGAAGCAACTGCTTAATTCTTGAGACACTATTGCTGCCTAAAACATCACCATTAATATATTCTGTCTGTCATCACTTCTTTCCATTGCCCTAAAGGTTCTTCATTTGTTCTTCTAAAATATGGCACTTGTTTTCCTGGTACCCCAGCACATAACAATGACAATTTTATTGTGATAGTTTGGGCTTATTTTGTTGACATATCATCATTCTTATACCCATTTCTTGAGTATTCTCCTTTTAATTAAAGGTTTTCATTTATCAAATGTGTAGGTGAGTTGGTGCAGCCGTGTCACAATGACAGACATGTTTTGATATTAGACTGCAGTGGACTGAATTTCTTTGACTACACTGGAGTCTCTGTGCTTCTTCAGGTAATCATTACACTAGAAACATTCTGTATATAATTATACATATGAGTTATTGGGGCCAACTACTAGTCACTCCACCTATGTCACTGGATAAATCTTTCACCTATAGAAAAGATGAACGGAGATTTGGTATTAAATTGTACTGTGTTTATATACAAAAAATTACATTAAAATATTTCTATTGGGTAAGAGAGCAAATATCTGCTAATCTAATATTCTATTGCGTAACAGAGAAAATCTATGTATCTATATGTAATGAAGAGGAGTTTTGGAACTTTTCCCTTTTTAAGTTGGTTTTTCATCATATTTGACCCTGCCATGTCAGTTGTAGAGACGAGTAAATTTACTGCTTTAAAATTTCAGCTTTAATTCTGTGATTTTATCTGTATATTCTACTGTCTGCTAAGCCAGAGGTCAAAACATGATCTCCATCCTTTCTCCTGTGGGCAGACTGGGTTCAGGCAGTGCAGGAGTTCCAAGATGCTCCCAGAAGAATAAACCCAGCAGTCACTGGTTACTGTGGTGAATGGAACCATGTCCAGATGGTGGCTGGCCACAACTGGTTCTCCCTTGGGGCCAGTCCTGTTTAATATTTTTGGTGATGATTTGGACAAGGGGATCAAGTACACCATCAGTCAGTTTGCAGAAGAGACCAAGCTGGGTGGGAGTGTTGATCTGCTGGGGGGCAGGAAGGCTCTGCCGAGGGGTCTGGGCAGGCTGGATCAAAGGCCCAAGGCCAGCTGTGTGAGTGTCAGCCAGGCAAAGTGCTGGGTCCTGCACTCAGGTCACAGCAGCCCCAGGTGGTGCCACAGGTGGGGCAGAGTGGATGGAAAGACATGGGTTAGTGGTGGACTTGGCAATGCCAAGTCACTGCTTGGACTTGATGATCTTAAAGGTCCTCTCCAATCGAAACTAGTCTATGAGTCTATAGTTTCACATAACAATATAGCAGATAAAAAACTATGTTCAAAGCTGTTTCTTACACTTCCATCAGATCTGGAGTTTGAAAGTTGTGTAGTGAGTGCAGCATTAAGTGGGTATGGAAGACTTGGTTTGCATAATTTTTCTGAGTGAGATAAAGGGCTAGATTTGAACTTGGGTCTTGGCCCAGACCTCTTGTTGCCCTAACAATTTTCTCAATTTACTGCAGTGATTGCACAGTGAAGTAAATGTTGCCTTAAAATATTTTAAATTAAAACTACACATACAGGCAGGGATATAATGAAAAAGAAAACTGGAAAAATAGGGTTAGTGAGAGTGACTATTAGCTATTACCTATCAGTACTTTTCCTATCCTTTTGTACTGGGAAGAGTTCATCATAAATAGAAACTGACCTGGATTGCTCTGGTCTGAACTCAGATCACATAGGACTGTTAATTGTTGAACAATAGTCACTAATAGTCTAATATCCATTTGAAATATTGAGCATTCAATATTGTATTCATTTAAAAATTTGTGAAACTGATTTTCAAAACGTCTTAGAGACCTCCAAGTTACAAATTATGTCAAAGATGTGTTTGACAAATTTGTGAGAGGTAAGTCTGGATGGGCTGTGAAGTGCACAGGTTGGTAGTGCAGCCTCTGGATAAATGGTTGGTCCAAAACCAAGTTGCTCCTCCTCCTACCGAGACGACCACACTCAACATGTCCTTGTTACACTCCTTCCCAAAATATCATCGCTGATGTCAGAGATGGAGGATTTTTGAACTGAGTAAGATTTTTGCTCTATTTTAAAAATAGAATATTCTGATGGGATTTTCACTGAATCTCCTCCCAGAATTTTTCTACTTCACAAGGATTATTTAAACATTTTTTGAAGCAGTAACTGCTTAGCATATTCCTCATTTGGCAGGAGAATTCCCTACTCTGCTTTTAGAGTTATTTTCACCTTTTTTTTTTGGTTTTGTTTTGGTTTGATTTTGTTTTCTATCTTATTAATATTTTGCCTCTGGGGAGCTGAACATTTTCAAAGAAATAATAAAGAACAACTTACTGCTCAATGCAGCATGATAACTGTGGTGCTTTTTTGATATAAGTCTCAAAGTTTCCTAGGTCTGAGTCCTGTCTGTGTGGACTGGAAGTAAGCATATGGTAAGGACATGCGAAAACACACTGAAAAAAGATAAGTGGAAATAATACCCCTAAAAAATACAGTCAGAAATTGCAAAATTATTACTTAAATTCAGTTTTAATTCTCAGCAGAGCTGTAGAATACAGTGAAGCAGTGACAGGAAATAAATGTGGCTTGGTGATGTTTGCATTATAGAAGGGCTCGCTCTGGTGGCTGCTGGCAGTACAGCTGCTGCAGCAGCGCTCCGGGCTCTGCCTACTTTGAATGTGGGCTTTTTGTGAACTTTCTTCCCTGTTGGTATTTTAAACAGTTTTTTTTCTTAATTTCTTGTCTTCAAACATAGATTTACGTGGACTGTAAAAACAGATACATCGATGTGTTGCTAGCACACTGCAAAGGCAAGTATCAGCTTACAGTAAAAATTTTAGCATGATGGTTTATATATCTTCACCATCTTCTCTGTGCTCATGCGTTTGTTTTACTGCAGGTTCCTTGATAAAAGCAATGCAGTATGGTGGAAATCTTGACTCTGAAAATCCTGTATTTTTTGAATCTATTTCTTCAGCAATTGATGCCATTCCGATTCACAGGGTAAGACTTACAAGCAGGAGTAGGTGAAGCCTGGAGGGCTTCTTGGATGCTCACAGCAATTTGTTAAAGTCTGGGAAAGTATTACTCATCCAGTGAACCTTTTATGTAGAAATCTTTTATCTATAATCTACAACTAGTCCTCAGGCTGAGAAATGCAGTTTTCCATTTTTTGCTGCTAGCACTCTCTTCCCATCACCACATCTGCTTTTGCAACAACATCTCCATCTTCTATGATAGATCCAGAGGAGCTGTGTTGTGGTGCTTTAATCTGGGCTCATTCTCCACTGGAAAGATTTATGTCATCTAGAAACACCTAACACGGCCCCTCAGTGAGACAAATTAACTCACAGCCTCTTCTGCATTACTGAAACAACACTCCTGTTTCTCAGCCTGGGATGCTTGAAGCTCTTCACACATCAGAGCACTGGTCTGACTGAAACGGTTCTGGATCCCCAGCTGGTTTGGTTTGAGTTAGAAATTTTGTCTCTGCCCTGCACTGTACCTCGTTGTGTTGGCTCACTGGTGGAAAGAGGGGAATTGCACAAGGTAGAAGAGAGAGCAAGAGGGAGAAGGGAGGCTTGAGCATCTATTGTTCAATGATTCCTGCATTCCTTTTTAAAAAGATTGTAAACCTGGACTTTCCTCTTGAACTATGTGATTCTTTTCCACTGTCATGGCAGTGCAAGTGAGTGTCCATTAAAAGCAGTGTGCTTTCCCATGGTTTTATTTATGATTCAAACTTGGCTAGAGCTTGGCTCAGAGCCTTCTCCAAGAGACATTAAACTCATCATCGTCTGTGGTTTGGTCGTTTGTCTTTTGTTCTTCACTTTGTATTTAACTAATTAAATCAGACTTGCCTATGGACAAAACCACTTTCCATTGATTTATCCAGATTAAGGTGAGCTGGCATAGTTGGTCTCGTGAATTGACCAGAAAAACATGTTCTCTTCAGCGCTTTTCAACATTTTTCATTATGTTGTCCTACAAAAAATAATTTGTTGAAATGATAACTGCAGGGCAAAAATAATGGGGTTGGCTATTGTATATTTTGTCTGGGTCTGATTAGATGAATTAGAATGATCGGTGGGTTATAAAATGTCTGCTTTTTATATTGACATTATTAACTTTCCTAACATTCTTGTAAGATAGTTATGTACCAGCATTCCTATTTTATGGAAGTGAAACATGGATAGACCAGGACAAATGTTCATGATGAAAAGGGGGCGTTAAAACTCAAAGTGCACTTTTTAAGGAACTGATTACTTGTTTCTATCAGAGCTGCTAGGCAAGTCAAACCTAGTGGCTTAGCTGTTTAGTCTGAAAGGCTTACATGCAAACTCAAATTTTAAATGTAATTATGAACAGTGTACGTATACTGCTGGTGCTTCTTCAGAATATTCACAGCATGTGCTTCAGGGATTTTTATGTATTCATTGTGTTGAACACCTGAAGATAAGGTGGACAGGAATGAAAAGGCAGGGTGACTGCAATAGCAGCAGCACACTGTAGCTGCCAGTCTATGTACTCCTCCTGTGCCTTTTTAAGGTGCTGAGGTCAGTAGTACTCTTCAGTGTTAACATGACAGAATAGGCAGAATAGGATAGAAAAAAAATATGAGGAAGGAGTTGGAGACTAACAGAAAGTGATTTGTTCTGATTCACATTTCAGCTTCCCCACATAGCAGGAAATAGTCTTCCACTGTCAGAAAGGTAGAGGTAAGAGGGCTTTGTGGTCCATTTTCATCTCTGCTGCTGTTCAGAAAAGATATTCTTATCTACATACTCCAATGAAAATGTGTCGTTCTCATTTTTATGTTTATAAATTGTTAGGATACTTGCCTATTACTTTATGCAGTTAATCTTAAATAACATTTTTTAATCACAAATAACTTTTTTTAATATTAGTGGTGTTTTCAAGCTAGCACTCCTTCATATCCTAATTTTACTTTATATTCTAGGAAAACATTATAATGCTTTTTTTTCTGTTTCTGTCATTTTAGAATTACAGCAAGTTCAGTGAACAGAGTGAATTGTGATGCCCACCCATTGAGCATAGCGAGTTTCATCTGCTCATATTCAAAATGAACTACAACATGGCTTCTCGTTCACTTTTTTCTCCAGCGGATCTCATAGATGATCTTTTGTATACCATATATATTTAGTACATTCAGTAACGACAGATCTACCTTTCAGAGAGAAAATCTTTCAGCTGTGATCACTCAGAGAATTTTTATGCAATTGTTCTATAGTGGTTTTATAAAATATTTTTATATACATTTATATACAAATTATTAGAAAGCAGACATGAGGTACTGTGTTTACCAGTTAGGTGTATTCATTTAGTATCTTCTATTGTAACATTAGTTGTAATATTCATCTGTAGTTTTGTGTATGGAATAGAGACATGAATTCTTAAAAGAGTACAATTGATACAGTATCAGCAGCAAGGCATATACCAATGCATAAATTTTCTAATGGCTGTTCTTACTCTTTCCTCTGTTCAGTACAGCTATTTGCAGTAACAGCATCACAACTATCATATGCTTTCACTTTTTGCACTTGGTTTTGTATGCTTTTTAATGCCTGCTCAGACCAGTGGGAGAACTCACAAGTCTATGCAGAAAAGTCAGATACATGTTGACTAAGAACACTGGATTGCCTCCCTCTATATTTGTTTTCTTGTGCTATTATGGTTTGCTACATTTTCAAAGCCACAGGTATTCTTTAGTCTCAGTCTGAAGAGGAAAAACTGGTAATATTTTTCCAAAACTTACTCTTTTTTCCAGCATTTTTCCACATTTTTTCCAGTCTGCATTTCTACTTTGAGCTGTGATTTGTTTGGTGTTGAAATCTTCAGCTGAGGAAGCTGAAAGGTGACCGTAGTGGCACATGAGATGTGGGCCACATTTCAGCCACAATCCTGATGTGATGTGCAGTATACTTACTGTGTGTGAGCACACAAAGTGGGTGGTGGAACTCACGGGTTGAGTACTTGGTTTGTATTTATGGGTTATCAGCAATTGTATTAGATCATACTATCACACAGCTATCATGTTATTTGGCAACATATTAAAGCCTTCCAGTACCTGAAGGGAGCCTACAAGAAACATGGAGAGAGACTATTTGCAAGAGCATGTGGTGATAGGACAAGGGGATGGCTTCAAACTGGAAGACAGTAGGTTTAGACTAGATATTAGAAGAAGAATTCTTCACTGTGACAATGCTGAGGCACTGAACAGTTTGCCCAGAGAAGTTATGGATGCCCTGACTCTGGAAGTGTCCAAGGTGAGGTTGGATGGAGCTTTTAGCAGCTTGTTCTAGTGGAAGGTGTCCCTGCACTTGGCAGGGTGATGGAACCAGATGATCTTTAGGGCCTTTAAAACCTAGGCCATTCTATGATTCTATGTATGATTTTTCTCCTCTTACCTTTGTTCCCTTATGTGGACACCAGCAGTCAAATGTGAATTGAGCAAAAAGGAATCAACAAATGAGAAAAGAAGTAGGGGGTTTTGGTTTTTTTCACCAACTTAAAAAATCTGTGGAAGCTATAGGTAAATGAATATGGCACATCTGTAACAGCCATCTTACACTACAGAGAGGAGGGAAGTACAAGGAGGCTTTGTGCAGCTGACACATATAGGCAAAATCTAGCTCTAAGCCTTCTGTTTTCAGCAGCAGTTACATCTGTATGCTTGTCTGGACCCTCCCTGCTCTCTCTGCCCAAAGCTGATGCCTGTGGGAGATGAAGTGGCTCATGGAGTGACTTCTGCATCTCTGCATAGTTAAGACATTGATATGCTTTTCCTCAAGTCTTGGTCACTCCACACTAGTAGATGATAATGGGAGAGAGCCGTGGGGTTTCTTGCCCTTTCAATTATGAGTGACTCTTGTAGTTATTCCCTGCTTTGTCCCACAGAGGACTAGAAATGTTCTGTACAAGTTCTTTTGAGACTGCTTTGGTAATTACTATGCAAAAGGCTGATAAGTGAGAAACTCATTATATGCAGGAGAAATAAATTCTGTATATTGTCCCAAGCACATTAATTTCAGATGCTATAGCTGACTGCAAATGGCTCATTACATCACTGGACTCAGTAACAGGCTATAACATTTGATTAATAATTTCTTGAAACAGTTTTAGTAATTTATTAACACTTTAAAAACTATTTACAATGTACTTTAATCACAGAAGCATCAATTTTATGTCACAGCTGAATGGAGATTTCTACTTAACTGCAAACTGAATAAATGAATAAATGGTATCTTTTCTACTAGGTTCAGCATTTGTTCTTTGTCAGCTGAATGTTTTTTCTGAAAATTTATAGATTAGTTGATTAATGAAATTGTTAAAAATAGAGTCTTTAGCAAAGATAACATCACTTTTCAGGAGATTTTCACTTTATTCTGAATGATCTTGTAAATGGAACAACACAGATGCTTTTAAAATTCCTTGTAGTATTAGCCTTTTAAGAAACCTTTTGCATTTAATAATCAATTTTGTAGCGCTTATCAAAATAGCATCTAATTTTTATTGCTTTCAATAGGAATAATTTTTGATCAGTTTAATGACGGGTTTAGGGATGAACATTTATCTCCCATTGGCTCCAACCTTCCAACACTGGGATTTGGGATAATATTTCTGTAATCTATTTTGCTATATATAATTAGTCTACATAACTTTCTGTTTCTGAGAGCATGTATTGTTAATTATATTCCCTGTCTGGCAAGTGGCATCACTTAGGATAGTTGTTTCTCAGCAGAACAGTGTTTAAGGGGCATGTGAAGATAGCTGCCCTTTCAATTTCTTCTAAAATACCTGTACTGAGTTTAAGCTCTGTCAAAACAGAGCTGCTCTATACAACTATGGGCAGTGGGGGATGGAGTATTATTTCTTTTTTACCATTGACTCGGAAGAACAAATTTCAAATTACAAACCACTGACACAGTTTCCATTTCTCCACCACCCACTCTTCTGAGCTACTGAAGTTTACTAAAACATGTGGCTGCACCTGGCCTGCCTTCAAATGTCCAGGAGACCATTGCCATCAGACCTCGTGGACTGCCAGGTCATGGTTGGTCTGCTGATGGGAAGGGAGTTGCTTCATGTCCTCCCCGAGTTGCTCTTTGCAAATCCCTATTGATGGTGTGTTTTTGCCACTGACAGACTCAACTGACAACTGTTTAATTCTTTGGTGAGGATTTAAGGAAACACCTTAAAACTTCTGGATTAAACTTTGGAGGCAATCCCCACTATCAATTTCTACCCTTCTCTCAATGCTTTTTTATGCAGACTGTCCACTGGCTTTCCTCTGGCTCTCAGAATTATTATGTAAATACATGGAACCCAAAACATCACAATTAGCTTTACTGGAATGGAATAGAATTAAATAGAATAGAGTAACATTTGAAAGAAACCAACAGGCATCATCTAGTCCAATTGCTGTTATTATAAAAGAATATCTTAATTACAATAAACCGTACTTATTCTTCTGACCCAGAAAGGTCAAGGAAGCCAAACTCATTCTGTAGCAAAGAGCCTGCACAAAGTCTGTGTGTCCTTATGGCTGTGCAGGCCTGGCCACACTATCCCAATGGAGTTGGGAATTACAGTCAGGAACAATAAGGGGTTAAGTTATTTGTGCCCTGCTGCTGCAGACATTCATCTTTGTACCTTCAGCCTTGTTTGCTTGAACATCCCTAGGGACTTTTCAGAATAATGCAAAGTTTCATCAAATGTGGTTACATCTATGAGCTTCTGCAGTGTTAGCAGTAAGAGCAAACTGTGGAGTTTCTCTGTCCTCAGTGATTTCTAAAGCAAGAGAGAGACTGCATCTGCCAGAGAGGCTTGAGGAAGTCTCTCATTTGCAAACGGGTTTCAAGTAATGAAACTAATGAGTTTACTACTCTTGGTAAGCAATTCTGAAAATCTAACCACTCACTTTGCTTCTTGTATGGATACTTACATGCTCAGACTTTATGTTGCAAAATTCAGTGTGTATGAGTCACCAATCTTTTGCAAATCAGTGCTTCAATTCTGCACATTTGGTGTATTCTGCACTTCATAGGAGAACCTAAATACAATGTTTTTTTTGCAGAGGTGGTCCAAAGTTATCAGAGATTATACATTTAGTTGATGTGTTTAGGAATTTTTAGTTATTTTTAGGAACTTATTCTACATTTTAAATAGTATATCATGTGAGTAAAGAGTTTTTCTTAACATTTAAGATTTGATAACCAGAGTATATTAAAATGGTGATCTGATCATATGCGCTTACAGAATTTGTTTCACACATTCCAAAACAAAGCAAGCAATGAGGAAAAAAAGAGAGAGCAAACTGATGTTATAGAGTGAATATAAAGGCAATTAAAAATTAGGCATAAAATATGTAATAAGGAAAAGACTGTTAACATTACATTTATGCAAATTAAATGTTTCCAATTCTTGTCATATGTCTTTCATTTTAAAGGTTATTTGCCCTGATTCTATGATTCAAGTGTCACAAGGTCTGGCTGTAGCTGCTTTGACATAATTTATTTGACAGCTCTGTGTGTCATAAATATATAATGTAACAAGGAAAGGTATCTTCACTGTTGAATGAAAACATTAATGTGTCAATACTGTGTATGAATACTGTTTGACATTTACTAGTTTCAAAAATAAAATACACAGTATGCCTTGAAAATATGGTATTCCTATTTTTGGAAGATACTTTCTTTGTCTAGAGGAACTCATAAATAAATGAAGGAGTGCAGTTCCAGAGTGCATGCTAAATGGTGCCTTCATCATTAAGATAGATTTTACTAAAGATCACATAATCTGTATGTTTCCATATGTTTTATAATGCATTTAAATATTTTTTCTTTTTCTGATTCCATGTATTAGCATATGCAAGAATAAATTTATACTGAAATAAATTGGAATATGAGACAATTTGCATGAAGAAGGAGGAAAAAGCCCTCATTATTTCAATTCTCTTTTTTTACATTCTGTACTAGCCACTTTGTTAGGAGATATGCTGCCTTCTCCAACCTCAAAATGTATTAGATCTTAACAATGAAAAAAGAGAATTTGCCTTACATTCATAAGTTTTAATTCCTCACAGCTCTTACAGGAGTATGGCATGTAAGACATTTTTACCTCTATGAGAAATACAGAAATCTTGGTCCAATTTCCCCAGTATTGCCTCTTTGCATGCACAGTCATTTGAATATGTCTTTTTTAAATTGTCATTTGCATCTACAGATGGTGCACCTCATATCCAACTGGCACATACTGACGGCACTGCTTATGTACAGTCTGTGGCTTATCCCAGTAGAGAGGAAATGATGGGCAAACCTTCCCACCACCTCCCAATAACTGTAATGACATTAATGAAAAATGGATTGACATATCTTTAAAACTTTGGCCCTGAATGTAGCAGCTTAATTTTTCAAGCCTAGTAATTTATGAAAGCATTTGCTTCTACAAAAATGAATGCAACTGCTACATTTTTTTGATTTTACAGCAGTATGAAAAAGTATAAACAATTTACAGTTCCATAAATTCCTAGATGCTAGACAGCTAAATATTCTTAATCTTGATGACATAGGCTATTGTCTAGAGCTAGGCTATTTTTTAGAGCTCTCCTTTCCAATTAAACTCAGACAATAGCAAAGAAATATCCAAGTTCTCTTTCTTTGGGGTGAGAGAACAGAAAATATCATAATTTTTATTCTCAGAATGAGCATGTAGAAGTTGAAGATCAGCTCTCACCAGGAACTTGAAAGGTAACTTGAAGTGCAAGTCCTTCCGTACTGGGAATCCTTTGGCTGCACAGCAGTTCTGAAGAGTATGACATGCAAAAGCAGAGAAATATCTGCTTTTTCTCGTGTGTTTTCCAGTAAAGAGGTCTTTTGTGCTGGATAAATTCAGGTGGTTAATATTTAAGAAGAACCAAGAGAGTGGCTTATGTTGTTGCTCTGACTGACTCAATGAGGAGAAGTGTTCTCATTCCCATTGTGCTTTGACTGTGATATTGTTGCAGTTTAAAAACACAGCAAAATTGTAGGAATTCTTGAAAACTCTGCAATGCTGAATTAAGCTGTACACTGTACATTCACTTATATCCCACAAAACAAATGTCACTAATTTGGACACACTGTTTTATATTTCATTTGAGAGGCAAAATTATCTACTCCCTTAATTGTTACTTGCAACTAATAGTTTTAAGATTTCGGGGAAGGTGCTTTTTTGCACATTTGCTCTGATTTGTAGGCTCAGATAGTATAGTAAAAAATGTGTGCTGCTCATTGGGTCTGGAAATAAAGTCTCTCTG